CCAGGAGGACTGGCCACTTCTGGATTTCTCACAGGTGTTTCTCTTCAAAGAACAAGAGCAGGGGACTCTTAGCTGGTGCCTGGGCCACTCCTCTATCTCAAGGGAGTTAAGGCCAGAGCTAGCTCATGCAGCCACCAAAATACTGTCTCACTTATTAGAAGCTTTGGAAGAAAAGAACACTGGAGAAACTGAATATGTAAAGTTCTCACTATGGCCAGGGACAAAGAGCATGTCACAAACAAAGAGACCTCTAGGTGCCTCTAGCTTGACTCCAGGCCTCGAAATAAACAATGAAGACTCACACAATGAAACTGTCATACTCTCCCTTTTCTCTTTGTTTTGTATTTCACAAATTTCCCAACACCAATATCTACAATCCTATACCCCCTCTTTGCTTTTGTTCAGTCAACATGGAATATATTTTGATGGGAAAGGTCTGTTTTTACAATTAGGAGAGTTTGAAAAATAAACTTACGGATTCTAAGGGAGGGCGCTGGGTACAGTTGGCTCTGTCCTAGAGACTTGGAGGGTATAAACTTATTTCTTGGGGGACCCCCACACCCTGAGGCCTGCACTAGGGTGGGTTCTTTCATCTCCTGTCATCGTGAGCTACTTATGACATTAAGCTACCGGAATTTGTAAGTTAAGTAATTCTGCAACTCCCCCCCCCACAACAAAAACAAAAACAAAAACAAAAAAAAACCCGTTAACTTTGGAAAACAATAGGTTGAAATGGCACCGGGTGCTAATAGGTAAGGAAGGGGACACAGTAACTTAGTGACAATGTTTTCATCAATGAGAATGATGCAGCACCACGACCCCATACACGGAAGAAAACAAACCAAGTGCTCAGTCAAACCAGTGAAGGCATTTACATGGTCCCGGTGTCAGAGGGTCCACACAAAAGCACAGAGACTCCACCATCCCACAGTGCAGCCCTGCCCATCTCGACTTACTCTCCCAAGGGAAAACCCTGTGGAAATAAGGGTGCAAAGTATTGCTCTGTGGCACGTTCTGAGAGTCATATAAAAATAACTTCTACAGTAAGTTTAAAGTTGGCATGTAAAACTTGAACATAACAGTGCATAAAATCTATAAACAGAATACACTGGAAAACTACTTTCCTTGCCAAAGTAATATGGTTAAAAATCATCCCTCTAGTCAATGCACGTGAAGAAAATGTGAACTAAACTTCTGGAATAATCTCCACAGGGGTTTAGAGACATCTGGGTTTCTTCTGGACATCTGCTGTTGTTTGGACACACCCATCCCTCTCAGAAAGTCTGGCCAGATGATATGGGGAACCCTGCTTACTACCGGTTCAGGCAGTGTCTCTCAACACAGCAGCTGGGACCTACTCTTCTTCTCCTTCTTTGTTACACAAAAGGCTGACCAGTCAAAGAGGGATCTTAGGGAACTTGGCCCACCTGTGCCTGTCTCCAGCCACTAAACCTGGTCAGGGAGCAAGGTGTTCAGCGCTTCTGAGCAACATGAAGCAGGTTGTGATTACACAGAAACCACATGCCTGTATCACACTAACCCCTCTTGCTTGCTTTCGCTGGTCTAATACTGCACAGAAGCAGGCATTTCTCACAGAAGGCAATGGCTATTCTTAAACACATGGACTGCCTGGAACAGGCCCCAACTGGTGTTCTACCTTGTTTAGCCCAATGGGACCAAGCTGAGGGACGGGGCCCTTTTATTTGGCCAGGAAAGTAAGCCAGCCGCACATTCACCATTAGATTGGGGGAGAGAGAAGTAACTTAGCAAGGAAGGTAGATACAGTCAGTCCTCTGTCATCCTTCAAGAGTGCACAACCACTGCCCTGTTTGGGAGGGTTTCCTCTATTATCACAAACTACTTTAATTCTTAATTTGCCCCGTTTATTTCTTTCTTTCTTTTTTTTTTTTTGGCAGAGCGCATGAGAAAGATGACAGATTTGCATAGCCAGTTTTGGAGATTTCTAGTTGGCTGTTTTGGCTTCATAGTATGAGGAAGGCAAACATGAATTTCTGCCTCCTGTGTCTATGCACTAGGCTTCTGAACACACACTGGAACATTAGTCTGGAGGGATGAGCTAGAGTAGCCCACTCTGCTGGAAGCAGAGGCTTCTGTGACCTACACCTTTGGGGGATGAAACAGCTGTTCAGGTGATGTGTTCAAAAGAAGCCAGCCCTCCCTGCAAGCTGCTGCAAACCCTCTGAGTGAGAGATTTTTTTATTTTGAGTCTTTTCCCCACCACCCCAAGTAACAAGAGGAACCCCAGTACTCTCTCAGGGAGATGAGTATTAGCCATTACCACACATTTAAAGCATCTTGTTCAACACAAAAATAAAACTTTGAAAAAAAGTCTTAAAGAGTCTATTTAATAAATAATTTTGATTTAAGGAACCACTTTATGCAAAACTTGAATACATTACTGAAAACTCCACAGGCTGTGGAATAATTAAAAACAAAAAGGAATTACTCACAGGAGATACTCAGTTATTTTATTATCATTTCCAAACAGGTAAAAAAAAAATTTCCCTCCCCATCCTTTGAAAATTTTTATTTATTTATTATTAGTGTCATTATTATTATTATTATCTTTGCTTTTGCTGCTCTGGATGTCACGGGATAAAGCATCCTTCAGAAGAAGAGGCTGGCCCGGGTGAATATGTGACCCATCTCCTGCACTTTCTGAGGATAGGCAGGTGCTTTCTCCTGTTTGAGGGGCAAGGGGGCGGGGCTAGTCTAAAGCTCTCACCAGGTGTGGAAGTGTTGTTTCGTTTGCGAGGATTTTAACCATCGGCTTCCTATTTCCTGGAAGCAAGCTTGCTCTTTAGTGAAGCAGGCTAGCTCCTCAGTGTCCTTGGCCAAGAACAGTGGTCTGCAGAGGTAATCTTGGAAGGAAGAGGCTGCATATTGCTGCTCAAAACAGGGTAGCTAAGGACACATTATTTTTTAAATTTTCCTCAAGAAATGTAGGAGGCACCAGAAAGGAGACTGCTCAGAGATTGGGCTGCTCCCTCAATGTGGCATGGAGCCAGGAGCAGTGACACCTGCCCTGTGAAGGGTCTCCGCCAGCACAGAGCCCTTTTACCTGGCTGAACCCTGACAGATGCAGGTGGGGTAAGGTGGTGTCCTTGCCTCCCGGCCTCGGCCTCTCTCAGCCCCTACCCTACGGAAGGAGGCCAGGCTGGGTTCAAAGCAGCCCAGTGAGGGCTGACACAGTGACCAAGGGGTCAATTCTGTCCCCTCCTCTGGGGCACGGATATGAGATCACCTCCTAAGGGAACCTCCAGCGACAGTTCACTGTACATATGTCTTCAAAGGAGACACAAGCAGCCTGTCACGCTGGCTCATAGGTGGGCCGATCCGATCGTGAGTTCAAGACCCTGCTGTTTTGCACCCCCAAGTGTCTCTGGGAAGCTCCTGTCACCGGAGCTGCTCGGCACTGGGAGCGATCGCTACACCTCCCCGTGCCCTGAGAGGTAGGTTGTCCGGTGCCCATTCTGTGGTCGCCCGCGGCTTGGATGGCAGTGTGAATGTTGCTCGAGCCGGGGGCTGAGGGAGGAGGGTTTGCTTATGAGATGGAGCTGGGGAGTCCTAAGGGGCCAGCGTCAGCGGGTAGCGAGGTGCCTGCTGGAGGTCTCCAGGGACCCAGGTGGGAAGCAGGTGGGAGCCGCAGAGGAGGCTCCCCCTCAGGCCGGGCTGCGCGTTTGCTTCTAAACCCTGCGTGCTACCAACTGCACGCAAGTGACCGCTACTTGGAAGAGGTCAGTCCCTAGGTTAAGGGGGAAGAAAAGCATGTAAAACACTCCCTTCTAAAAACAAAGGGCTGCGATTTTCTTTATTTCTCGTATAGAGGAACAAAAATACTCTTGCAATGGCTATTGAGTTTCCACAGGTACGAGGCAGATGCTAGGCTAGCACACCCACTTCCAACAGTATGACTTGTTTCCTATCCATCTACTACCTGAGTGGCATCAGTGTAGGTTCAGGCACCATTAGGAACGTTTGACCAAACACGTACACGGCACTGACCGAGGAGGAGGCGCCGGCCCTTCGGGTGACCAGAGCAA